CCTCCCTTCCTCTCTGAAATGAATAAGTATTTTTAAAGGGGGGCAGGAAGTGGGGGACATCTACAACACTCCAACCATTAAAACAGGAAAAAAGCACGGCCAGCGGAGCTGCTGTGCCCAGGCCTCGGCCCCAAGCCCCGCCGCTGCCTCGGTGCCCGCGGGGCTCCGGAAGCCGAACGGGGAATGTTCTCTCCGAGGAAGCGTTTGCCTCTGCACCTGGCAGCATTCCGCTCCCCGGGTCCTTGGGGACAGGAAGCCATTTGTCACTCCGGTCACTGCAAACCGGTGCCCGCAGCGAGGCCGTCCTCCCCCGGCAGCACAGACCCATCACCAACGCAGACGGCGAGCACACGCGGGGCTTTTATTTTACTTTTTAGAACGAGAGTCAGATGTGGCTGCGGTGGCAGCTTCATGTGGACAGAGGACAAGGGCACCACAGGGTGAACACGTTACCACAGGTGGAGGGACAGTGACTCGACTACTTAACCACCATGTTCTGTTTGGTCCCGTAAATACCCAAACAGGCGAAATACAAAGCACTGGACAGCCTGGGCTTGGGCTTCTCCACAGCTGCATTTGGCAGAAAACAAAGATGGCTTGGCTCTGATGTCGAGGGTTATTTTCGTTAATTCTCGTTTCCCGGTGTGGGAAACCCTGACCAGCCCTCCCAGCTGGAGCCCACAACACCCGGCAGGTTCAGACTCAACTCAGACAGCAGGTCCTCGAGGGGCAGCCGGTGGGGGGTGGGGACCAAGCCCAGACACACATAAGACTTTGCCAGTTAGAACAGTCTGTAACCCAATTTGGACATCTGGGCATGGGTCCCGGGGCCATCACTCAGAACCAGAGCCAGCGGGTTGAAGGTTTTATGTTCCGGCTGCCAGGCGAGCAGCTGACCCGACTGCTCTCGGCTCCTCAGCCAGAACAGAAAGAAACGGACTCCCCGGGACGCTGGGGCTTCTAAGAAGACGAGAGGCCCCACCAGGGCAGGTTCATGTTTTGGGAAAGAAAGTCCTCAACACGACGTTGGGCCAAGGCCGAGAGGGTTTCCATCTGGAATGACCTTCATGTTTCCGGCCCAGGGAAACGGTGAGAACACCGTCAGGCCTGAGGAAGCGTGTCACCGGGGCAGACGTAAGGCCAGGCTCCGTGTCCGTCACCCCCTGGCCCGTCTGAGTGACCGACCATCCACAGGAGACTCAGCAGGAAGCAAAAACCACTGGTTTGGGGAGAAGCGTGTCGTGCGCGGGCCACAAGCACAGCTCCAAGTGGTGACATTCTTTGAGCAGCACATTTTTTCCTGTTTCCTGTTCATCATGTTTATTCTTTCTCAAATTAAAGACACATTTTGGGTTGTGCAAGGATGTCCTCAGCTTTCTAAGGCAGACGACACGCACACTGCAGAAGTGACGATACTGGGACTGAAAAACAAGAGGCTCTGTATCCGTTCAGTAGCGGGTGTTCTGAAAGCCAGAGATCTGGACGCGTCTCGGTATCACTGGTTCCAGTGTGTGTTTACAAAGGCACGGACAACCACAGACACAGGCGTGACCGATGGATGACGACTCCCAGTCATCGCTGGTGCACACACCTGAGACCGTTCAGCGAGGACAACATACTATAAAAACGAGACAGTTCATTAAAGACGCATCATGTCTGCACAGTCGTCAAACAAAAGGCCGAGCGAGGCTGTGGCTGTGACTCCTGGCAACGACCCGGAATGGAGACTTAGAGGTGGAGACGAGACTAATGGGAGGAATGCCAGCCACAGCCCCGACCAGAAGTCTCCAAAGCAGCTTTGCAGGAAGTTGCCTCACATACTAGTAATCTTCATCTTGTTTGTGGCCCAAAATTCAGAAAATCAAAACCGGCTGAAGCCACTGGAGAGAGTGGAGGGTGGGGCACGTCATGGGCCTCGGGACCGGAATCTCTGACAAGACGCGGAGACTGCGGCCATGGCTCCGACTACGGATGACAGAGTCTGCGGGAAGGTCCAGGCGACCGTCCTGCCCGGGCGGCCACAGGTGGCCCTTCTCTGTTCACGTCCCACCGTCAGGGGCTGGGGCCGGGGCAGCAGTGCTTTCACGCTGGTCCTCACAGATCAACTCGACAGCTCTCCCCGGCCACCGGCAGGGGGTCCTCCTTAGCCGAGGTTTTCAGGGAAGAAGAAAAGGAGGAAAGGGGACAGAATCCTGGGGAGGTCGCAGAAGCGTCCAGTGAGGGAGCGTGCCAAGCAGGCGGCCACACCTGCCTGTCCTGCGGACGCGGTCAGCTCCGTGGAAAGGCTGTGTAGTTTAAAAGGCCTCGTTGACTTCACCACACGGCCAACGTTTTCAAGTCGGCAGGACTTCATGAGACGTGATTATTGCTCTGTTTCCAAGAGGCCTGGTCTCCCCAAGAGGCTCTGTTCATATTTCCAATGAGAAACCATCGGGAAACCAGGGGCCTGAACAGCAGGAGGGAGACGCGACCGGAAGGAGGGCCTTATGTCCCTGCAGGCAGGCTCCTGGGCGGGGCCAGCCCTGCTCACCCAGGAGGGCGGCTTCTGACAAGCCCCAGGGCTCAGTAACGCTGGTCAAAGGCGTGAAGGAGGAGCCTCGAAGGCTGGCTGGCGTGGGCTGAGATCTCTCCATCAGCACCAAGCAGGGAGCGGTCACAGTGGCACCGGGACCCAGCTCTGGCTTCACAGTTGCCCCCTCTGTGGGGTGTCGCCCACAGAGGAATCAGGGCCGGGCCTACTGCAGTGAGACCTGCGTGCCCAGCGAGGGCCGCGCAGAGGCCGGCGGGTCCCAGGCCTCCGCGTCTGGCACGGGGGCCGCGGGAGGCAGTTTCACATCCCCTGGTGATGGCTCAGCGGCAGCTGGCTCTGGTCAGCCCCCAGGGAGCCAATGTCGGGGGTCCCCATTCACATTCCCGCTGGTTTTGACTGAAACCCCAGAAAGGGGCGGGAATGGCCGCACATGCACTTTCCTACCCCAGCTGACCAGGGGGTTAGGCAGCGAGGGCAGGGGACCGCATTGGCAGGAGGGCAGCCATTTGCGCCTCGAGGCCCTGGCACTCAGTGGTGCGGCCTGGGATCCTTGGGCACCAGCGGCTCCGTGCCGTCCTCCGGCGTGCAGCTGGCTGAGGCCAGGCTCTGCATGGCCTCCCGCTGGTGCTGCCTGGCCTTGTTGTAGAGCAGGACGCCCGCCATCACCAGGACGGTGCCCACGGCCGACAGGCTGGTGATTTTGTTGCCGAAAATGATAATACTGAGCCAGATGGACAGGGCGTGCTTCACGGTGCTGGCGACACTGCAAGACAGGGGGTTGTGCACGTGGCTCCCGAGCACTTACTGCACTCGCTGGGCCCAATTAAAACAAGCAGAGAGGAGGACAGCTGCCCCGGAGTGGCCCGGCGTGTACGCCCGGGGGACACTGAGGCTGCGGCAGGTGCGGCGCCATCGAGCCCTCTGTCGTCCTCACTGGGGACAGTCCCACTGTGGTGACTGCTCAGCCGTTACAGGAAAGAGGCGGACGCACACCACGTGACGTGGCCAAGCTGCCAACCACTGCTGGAGTTTCTAGCTCATTCTTTTCTATTTGTTACTGAAATGGTACTTTTATTAAATCCATCCTATATAATAAAAGGCTAATATGCAAATTATCCCCTCAGGAGTTCGACCCAGAGACCAGGAGTTCAATCGCTCGCTATGATGTGCGCTGACCACCAGGGGCTGGCGCGGAACATGGCGGGGGGACCAGCAGGCAGGAAGGAGGCGGCCGGGAGGTGGGGAACCTGATGGGCCCTGATCTCCGGCCAGGCCTAGGGACCCTCCCAGTGCACGAGTTTTGTGCACCGGGCCTCTAATCCAGTTATAAAATCGGAAACCGGCTAACCAGACCTTTAACCCCTCCAGGTTCCCAGAGCCCGTGGTCACGTGCAGAGTTCACAGGTAAGTGGATGGAAGTTAGTAAAAGCAGGAATCCAGGTCTGCATTGAGCTCACACAGTACAGGTGCTCACAGCCACCAGGGCCCACAGTGCCCGACCTGGGACGGGTCCTGCCGGGCAGGTGAGCCCGCTGACCGCGCTGCTCTAAGCACAAACCCACCCAGTGGCAACCTCCCTAAAAATCTCAGCCCAGCTGGGCGTGGCTCAGTGGTTGAGCATTGACCCAGGAACCAAGAGGTCACAGTTTGATTCCCGGTCAGGGCACATGCCCCGGTTGCAGGCTTGATCCCCAGTAGGGGGTGTGCGGGAGGCAGCCGATCAGTGATTCTCTCTCATCATTGATGTTTCTCTCCCTCTCCCTTCCTCTCTAAGATCAATAAAGATTTAACTAAAAAAAAAAAAAAAAAAGCTCTTTCTTTCACACACTTCACGCGTGTGTTTCAAATGGCACGAAAGGCAGCGGCCCGGCCACCGTGCCCCGGGACCTCGGCCAGCACCTCAGCACTTGGCACTCACAGACCTCGAGGCTTCGGCACCAGCCAGGCAGACACCTGTCCTACCTGAAGGTCACGGGGGAGATCCTGCCCATGAGGGCGTAGGCCGTGACGCTCTGCAGGTGGAACAGGACGCCGTCCATCAGCAGCAGCAGCACCACGTCCTGCGTGTAGCTGAAGCTCCTCCCGCTCCTCCCGACCACCGGCAGGTCCTGCGTGCGGAGCAGAGCGGCGCAGCACGCCCGTCGGCCCGGT